CATTCGAGGTGAGGATGAACGACTATATTGCTTATAATTAGTGAGTTAATTTCATAAGATTACCTAAAGTATTAAATGTGATTTTCACGGATTATTAATGATTAATAATGCCCAAATGAAAATACCATTGTATATGAGTAAATGAAGCATGATATATGAATTTGGAAGAAATTGTGTATGATTGTGTATTATGAATATGATGACATGATAATGAAATAAATTGTGAAAGATTGTGATAAAATATGTTTTTACTTCATGTAGAGAACTCATGAATGGATAAAGTGATATTTTTGATATTAAGAGTTAATCATATTTGAATTGAAAGATCGATTGAGAGGAACGATATGATTATGAATTTGAACGTGGCTGTTCAAAGATTAATTGGTTAGTATTGAAATACTAGCCGAAATGTTAGCATGAAAATTGATAGAATAAATCCTCAGGGCTTGGATTGTGGAAGATATATCTTAAGTAGTCTTATGAGATACTTTAAGGTAGGAGTGTGTAAATGCTAATTTAAGCTAGGGGTGGGCCTTAAAGGCTACTCAATATGAAGTGATCCTAAGCATAGAAGTTGCTTAGGAATTTGATGTTATGACTAGGGGGAGCCTCTAGCATATTGAATGCCGACTAGAGGAAGCCTCTAGCATAACGTAAGATGACTAGAGGAAGCCTCTAGCATAACGGAGTGTGACTAGAGGGAGCCTCTAGCACGACGGGAAATGACTAGAGGGAGCCTCTAGCACGACGGGAAATGACTAGAGGAAGCCTCTAGCATAATGTAAAGTGACTAGAGGAAGTCTCTAGCATGAAATTGAGTGATCAGAGTCAGCCTCTAGCACGACGGAATGATATCGGTGAGTGTGACTCCACTATAGTGAAAAGACGTGATAAGGTAAGTAGGTTTTTAATAGGGTAGCCGAGGGTTACGGCCTATAATATAGTATCACCCTAGATTAAGGGTCTTAGAAATTGAAACATTGATTATATACAGTGTAGTTGTCATTGTACTTTTAAAATGCTTCAAAGTACTGACCTCCCCTTCACGGGGGAGGCCACCTCACAATTTCAGGTAGAACTTGAAGGTTGCTACCACCGCCCGTTGCTTCGAGGAGATTGAAGGAAGAAGACTTGGTTCGTGCTTCTTGCGTTTTTGTTTTGAAAACAATTTAAAGAATGTTCATGGATATTATTTTGGATAATTATTTGGAGGCTTGTATGCCTAAGTTTGCCAATTGTGGCTTAACGCTTGTATAAATGTTTCCGCCGCGTTAATGAATGATTTTACATTATGTTTGTTTATGGATGTATTATGTGTGAATGATATTCCAGACGCTTTGTATAGTATGGATGTGTTGAACTGCGGTTGACTATTCGTACTGTATGGCGGATTGTTGACGTGTCCGGGTAGGTCCGAGGCATGACAGTATAGGAGTATGCTAGTAGTTTGAACGGGAGCCTCCCTACCGGCCTGGTCAGGAGCCTGTTTACTGATAGTTGAGAGTCTGCCTGTCACCCCAACCAGGAGTCCGAGTACTAGCCCTGCATGAAGTCGGGGTATGAGTCTAGCAGGGAGCCGCTCACCAGCCCAATGGGGAGGGAGGAGTTCTAGTGTCTAACATGACAACCAATTGTCCCTGCCAATCGGAAGAGCAACCGTGGGGGGACAATCAATGTGGTCACTAATTTTGTAGTTAATGTAGTAAACGACTATAAAAGGTAAATATAATTCAAATGACAGTCTCGCTATTTCTAGCAAGCAATTTCCGTTTTTGTATATTTCTATTTCCTTTTCGAGTATTCTATCGTAGCTTTTCCGAAAAGTCAAGAGCGCTCATTGTTGGACCAATAAAAGTGTTTAGTAAAGCTTAGTTTTAATATATTTTCAAGTTTTTTATCATTATATTTTCAAGTTAAATTTTTAAAGCAGAGTGAAAACCACCAATTCCCTACATACTCTTTTTAATTTCAATGTATTTAAATTTAATTATTATCGTCCATTAAAAATTAGCTTTGTAATGCAAAAACAGGAAGAACACTCATTTAGAACTCTTTTGGAAACACTAAAATCGACTGAATCGTCTGATTCTGCTGAAATTTACAAAGTTCTGTCTGAAGTGACTGTGTTGGTTGATTTTGCTCATATATGGAAAAAAATATTTAAATTTTTTTCATTAATAAATCAAAGAAAAACTTATATGAAAAATAGCAAAATTGGTCATCTACAATAACTTCAACCAATACAACCTGAGAAGTAACCCTATCCTTACTTTTTTTATACACAGTTCATCGAGTTGAATAAAAAATTACATATTTGGTTATAAAATTGATTGATAAATTTGATAAGCTGAAAAACAGAATCATCAAATGGGGGTTCTAAATATGCTTTTCACTTGAGGTACTCTCATAGAGTAATAGTCTTATATACCTGAATCATAAAAGGAAAAAATGAGGGAGAAAAATAAATTAATATAAACTGAAGTAAAAACCAAAACGACGTGTCCAAGTGTATTCAATGTGGGTTTTTAAAAATATATAAAAGTGTGGGTGCATTCAATGTAGATTTTTAAAAGTCTTTTCTGTTTATTCTTATTGAATTCTAAAATTATGGATTCTAATGGATTTTTAACTCATTCTTAGTTTTTTAATTCTCTGCAATTGTTTTTTCTCCTCATCAAAGATTTACATGGACTTTGCTATTGTCTTCTACGCATCACAAGTTCGCATAATTCTCGTTGCAGATTTGGCTAATTATTTACTCGAGATCACAAAACGGCCAACAAGTCCTGGACTAGTATCGACCAGATCGGGAGGTAGATTCCAGGATGATCTCAATATGCAAGATTTGAACATTAAATTTTGATTTTTTTATCATTTTACGATAAATAAAGTTGAACAAGAAGATTCTACATTAACAATGATACACAAGATAAACTTAAAAAAATAAAAATAAAAATATATTTTATATGTCGTCTTAAGAAGAAAAATGTAGGTGTGAGATTGGTTCAGTTCTTGAAAGAAAATTAGGAACCATTTGAAGAACCGTTAATCTCATATTGATTCAGTTCTAGAAGTTTTTAGAAGAATCGATATAATAATCGATAATATTACATCAGTGCAATTTCGGTACGTTGTCAGTTAACCATAAAGAAAAAAATATTTTAACCATTATTGCGTTTCATCGTTAAACAGCTAACACGTAAAAATAAAATTTTAAATTAATAAATATTTAACCATAAATAAACAAACAAATTTAACAAGCTAAAAGTGAAAGGAAAACAATTATTAACAAGAAAAGCTCGATTTCACATACGCTCATACACATGTAGCAATGAGTATAACGCTTGTGTAATGAATAATGTTCTTACTCATTGAGTTGTGTAATACATATAACATATGATCATAAAGAGATCCAGATTGTTGAACATTCTTGAAACTTTGAGTTTTCTTTTTTATAAAAACAAATTTAGATTCTTATACTTCATTTATTTCTTAATTCTTATCCTATTATATAGAGGAAATTAATCACGGTAAGACTAAAACATAGTATTTTCACCAAAGTACGATCATATGTTGGATTTTCCTTAAATAGGACTAAATATTACATTTCTACCCATGATTTAATTACTCACTCCGTCCCCCAATTAAGTTATGGGATGAATTTCACACATATTAAGGAAATAAAATTACTGGGGGGGGTAAATTTTACTGTTTTGACATTGTTTGACACTATTTTGCACTGTTTAGACACTGTTTTGCACTGTTTGACACTGTTTTGATGTACATAATTTGCCAAATAAGAAAAGTAATGAAATGTGAACTTAACTTAGAGACTGCCCAAAAAGGAAAGTGGTAACCTAATTGCGGGACGGAGGGAGTAATTAATATGATTAATTGCTCCTAGATCCTTTGCATAACCAAAGTCATTTTATTGGTGGCGAATGAGTCTGATAACTTGGGTGACGGAGGCGGACATGCAGATCGATATGAGCGATCTAGTTGAAAATTCTGACAACCCAACGGTGACGGACTGAACTTAAAAGTCTATAGACATTTTGAAAGTCTAATTTTTTCATATATTTAAAAGTCAATCAAATTCATTCATAATAAAATTTATGATTTTAAAAACCCAATCACCTTTTTTGAAGTCTAAGATTAAAAACAACCCATCATAATCCATATTCCATGGTGGGCATCTATAGATTTCTCTAACAAGCACTTCCAGCCTAGTTGGTTGAGCGATTACCCCTGCATAGGAGAGGTCTCGTGTTCGAGTCCCACTAGCACCAGTGGAACTATGATCTCCCAAAAAACCCTTCAAGTGGTAGGGCCAAGCAGTGTATACTAACCCGTAGGGCCAAACCAAAGTTGGGTTTCTGGGGTAAGGAACCGTGAAAGCAGTGGAACTAGTCACTATAAAAAGTTTACCCATACCTTAGTTTTAACTAGAAATTCCAGTCTAGCTGTTTGTAAGGTTACCCCTGCATAGGAGAGGTCTCATGTTCGAGTCCCACTAGCACCAGTGGAACCCTCCCCCAAAAAACCCTTCAAGTGGTAGGGCCAAACGGTGTACACAAACACGTAGGGCCAAGCCAAAATCGGGTTTCTAGGGTAAGGGGTCGTGAAAGCGGTGTAGCTAGTCACTATGAAAAGTTTATCCATACCTTAGTTTTACCGGTGGGCGTGGCTCAACTGGTACCAAGGGAGTGCTACAAGGGTTAGGTCCCGGGTTAGGCTCTCTATCTGTCAGATTGGATTATAGTCCTATCGAGTTTGGGGCCTCAGGGACGAGTCATCTTTTTTTTTTTCTCTAACAAATTACATTGATTATGGTTTGAGCTAAATAGGAAGTATAGATTTCTGCGAATCTGTGGCCAGACTGCATGGGATTATTAGGATGTTTGGAGAGAGAAAGAAATTCCACAATCTGCTTTCTCACGTCATCTGTTTGAGTCTTCACATTTGGGTACTTTTTCATTTTAAAAGTGATTTTTTTTTTCAATTTATACCATCGATATTTTACTCGGTGGAGGCAGAAAGCAGAGTAAAAGAAAGCAAAACTGCAGCCGTTTATTGTAAATTTCTCCAATTTTCCTGAGATTGTGTAAAAATTGCGTGTACATGGATGATCTATTCAAATGGAAGAACAGCTAAAAATTATTTTTATTTTACTGATTTATCAGTATTTATTATTAGTTTAAGACTAGAGAACTGGATGCAGACTTGCAGTTCATTTTCTCAATTCCTTTTATCTATTTACAAAATTTCGTTTACCATGGGATGTAGAAATCAGATCAAGAACATATAACCCAAAATTGTTAATTCTGAAAAACAACTGTTGGCTTTTCATGGCTAAGACAAAAATGCTTTCAGACTTCTATGGGCTTTTCTGCTGGATTTCATGGTTTCATGCTTCATATTCTTTCATTTCGAATATTCCCTTTTGAGTTTGATGGCAAGCAGAAATTGTTCAGTTCCAAATTTCCAGCTTTAAGTTGCATATTCAACTTGTACGAACTGGTTGTCTAGTTATGTAATCCTTTGTTTTTGAAATAACGATTTTATATTTATAGTGTTTTTGTGATCCAGGGAAGTAGAGAGACGAAGATCGAACACCCTTTTGAAATGAAGAACATTGGTGGTAATAGCATTTGGCCGCTCTTAGTTGAAGAGTTCACCTTTGAGGCCAATTCAGCTCCCTTCACAAACTGTCATGCTTCCACTATTGTTGAGGTAAATGGCACCCCCTGCAAGTCCTTCCATACTTTCAAATTGACATATCAATAATTGTGTGATTATCTTTTTAAATTTGTCTAGATCATTACAATTTTAGTTGTGTCACTTATGTGTGTGTGGTTTGTATTATCATTTTAAATACAAAGAGAAAAATCAAAAATAAAATGAGCCCCAGTTCCACAGCGCTAGGGTTGCAAAATTGCACATGTATTGTGATCAAACCCACATATTTATTTATTTACTTTTTTTCAAAAATAATTTGGTTAAGTGGCTTTTTGCAGCTCTGCATTCGTTATCAGTTGCTAAAAAAGGTTGTGAGTGATATTTAAAATGCTTTTAGGTCAGTAAAGATCAATTCTTGCTGGCTTATTTTGGAGGCACAGCTGAGGGGGACACCGATGTCAAGATTTGGATGCAAACTTACAAGGTGATCTTTTACTATGAAACTTGCTTTCTTCAATGAATATTCTTTTGTACTTTCTGACAAGGTTTAAATACTGGTTAAGGAATCAATAAAATTTTCTAAAATAAAGAATAAATTACAAGGGAAAGCTTGACCATTATACACCCTTGTGGTGGGGCTCTTTTCCGGGCCCTCACTTTGAGGGGACTCCAACCAATTTGCACCGAGCTGCTCTTTATTTAAAGATAAAAAACTACATTAGGACTAGAATTCTCCTTACCAATGTCATGTAGATATATCTGAAGTGCATCAATTGCACATTTTCGCAAGCATCCTTCTACATCTTGAGTATTGTGGAACATGTATATATGGCATACACATTTCCTACAAAAGTGACAGTTTTAGAAATAGAGCTAGATAATTTAGACCTGCTCGTTTCCTGTAGAATGTGGCCAAATTAGACCATATAAAAAATCTTAACTGGTGTATTCTTTATTACTTCATTTACTTGAGCAGGATGGGAAATGGCATGCCCCTGTTGTAGCCGATGAAGAACTGGGTGTCCCAATGTGGAATCCTGTACTTTTCATGCTTCCTTCCAGTGAATTACTTTTGTTTTATAAAATTGGGCCAACCGTTCAAAGGTGAATAAATTTAGGTGGGGATCTCTTTCAAACGAGAGCTTAATTGATTTCGATATTGTCTTGAGTTAGTTATGTGAATGATGAATACAGCTGGAGCGGTTGCATGAAGAGATCTTACGATGGTGGTATGACATGGAAGGAAAGAGAACAACTTCCTCCTGGTATATTAGGACCAATTAAGAACAAGGTATGACTAATTCGTTTCATATTAAGATTTGAGGTTTGGTCAGACAGAGTAATTTTGATAGGAGTAGTCCCTGCAAGTATTGCATTTTTGTTTTAGAACCTGCAATCTTTTTTTAGCTTTCATAATTACTATTTACGTTATTTTCTTTTTAATCTCTCTAACTCTCGAACAATCTCCATTTAGAAAAGGTATTAATGTTATTTGCATGACTTCATTTTAAACTTTCTACCTTAACTTGTTTAAGTTTTGGCAAACTATTAGAGGAGTTAAAGCTAAATGAAACTAATCATCCACATTTGTGATATTGGTCTCAATGGGTTTCTCTATATAAAGTTTAAACATATTTCAGTACAAAACATAAAAGTCATGTCGGAGGTTAGTTAGCGTTGGACTAAAAAAGAAAATAGTGTAAATTACATGGATGAAAAAACAAAAAAATGCAGGTGGAGTGGCGGACCTAAAACAAAGAACACGATACTTGCAGAGTTGAAGGGACTAAAAATATATCCAAGCCTTATTTTTTCAATGTAAGATGACTTAACAAATGAAGCTCTTTATATTATAAGCTGCATGTGCTTTTTGTCCAGCCTTTGTTGCTAGAAAACGGAACATTGCTATGTGGATCTTCAGTTGAGAGCTGGAATTCTTGGGGAGCGTGGATGGAGGTATGAATCTCATCACAACGGAGTCAACTGTTTTACCAACATGTTACATATCCAACATGGCAAAGACTTGGACCCTTTTGACTCGAATTCTTGTGAGTTTCAGATGACTATTGATGCTGGCAGAACATGGAGAAAGTATGGACCTATATACATTCAGGAAAAAACTCTCTGTGTGATCCAACCTGTTCCATACCAGACTGCAAATGGTACTTTGCGAGTTTTACTGCGATCATTTAGCGGTCTTGACAAAATTTTCATGTCAGAGTCCCATGATGGAGGTTATAACTGGAGCTATGCAAAGCCTATCGATTTGCCGAACCCTAATTCAGGTTAGCAATTTATACTTTTATTCAAACTGTATTGACAAGTGGATGTTTTAGTGCCTCAAAGCACGGTATTGAATGATGACGCATCTTGTACACCTGTTGTTATAAGTGGAATCAATGCGGTCAAAAGCACTAGTGCCTAGCTTCGTATTAAAATTTGGGTTCGCCACACTAAAAAGGTTAAATCGGTTAGGAGTGGCTGATTCAATATCTTATATGTTGATTTGTTATTTCATATTTAGGGAATGCGGAACAAATTCAACACCTATCATGACTAGACGAGGTTGGATTGTGCAGTTTGAATGTATTTTACTCTTTTCAGTATAACATTAACTGATGACCTATGACACCATAACAGTGTAATATGATTGACCATGACACTGTATTAATAATTTTCGCCAATGTCAAGAGTAAAATGATCGAGCATATTAGTGTAATGTCTGTATTCATTAATAATTTTCTTCTCTGTAGTAAATTGTTATGGTGCTCAATTCATGAGGGGCACACATGACACACCCCTGGCAGCGTGTCAGCTCTTCTGGATTGTGCAGCTTTTCCACAAGGGTAGATACCTTCATGGTCTGACACCACAAGGGCCCACATCATTAGTTCGAATAAAAAAGGAGAAGCCATATAGCACCAGGATCATAAATTCATAATGGATTTAGGATGGGGTTTCAGTAGAGGAAAAGAATTTACGCATCTAATGAGAGACTAGTGCGTAAGAGAGGGTTTTTTACGGCAACTATCAGGATATATACATATTTGCAAGAGTGTACGTGTAAAGATTTGTGTTAGGACCCTAAATGTGACTCCACTCTCTCATCAGTATGAGGGCACCTTAAAAGAAGCCTCATATGAATGTAGGGGAAGTTAGGCAGGCTCTTATATTTAGGGAATTCTTCATTCATTTATGATGTGGGACTTTTGGGTTGACATGCCCAACAAGTTTTTTAACATAAAAGAGCATCTTAAGGTTGGGTTAGCTCAGGCATATATGAATTAAAAGATTGAGTTGCTGCAATTGACACTGAATCCCGTCACGGGGGAACTCTGTCTGACTTTTCCTTTCCATAGGAAAATGACTTGAAATTGCTTACTAAATTCGAACAAAGTTATCAACCTTGTACTGTCGTTATCAGGAATCGACGGCGTTAGACTAAATGATGGTCGGCTCGTTTTAGCTTACAACACAATCTCCAGAAGCATCCTCAAAGTTGGGCTCTCTGAAGATGAGGGAGACTCATGGCATGAGGTTGCAACACTAGAGGCTACCACGGGGATGGAGTTCTCTTATCCAGCTGTCATCCAGGCCAGTGGTGGAGGATCAGTCCATATCACCTACACATACAACCGAACTCAGATTAAGGTAACATGGTGATTTGGTGAATGAGATAATTTCTATTGATTAGCTTTTGTACAAACTTAGCAATGACAATATCATTCTCTTCCAGCATGTAGTGTTGAAGATCCCTTGATGAAGTATAATGAGAAAAGAACCGCCGGAGATAATCGCCTGTTTGGATGGATGGATCAACATTTCAGTTTTTTTTTTCTTTATCATGAGTTTTGTCTGGTCACATTGTTCAGTGTCTCCTATTGTCACCAGTCACAATATAGCTTAGCCTTTTATTTTAGCAGCTAGAGCCTAGAGGGTAATGTGAGTGAAAGTGTTCCCGGCCCCTAATGTAACAGAACTGCAACCACATCGTCATGTAGTGATGATTACTGCTTTCTTTTATGAATTAGTTTTAGCTTGTTAACTACTCCCTCCGGTCCCAAAACAACTTCACACTTTATTTTTGGGTAGGTCCAAAATAAACTTCACACTTCTATTTGTGACAACTTTTTAATATAAATGTTTAGGTTTATTCCATCAACCCGTAGGCCCAACACACGATCCAAGGGTTTCGAATGGAAAAAGTATCGAAGTAGATGTAGAAACACGCAGTTTTTACGTGTAGGAGTGGACTCAGGCCAGGCCAACCGGTCTGGAACCGGACCGGCCCGCTACTGTGCGCGCCGGGACCGGCCCGGTGAACCGGTTGGTGCCCGGTTCGGGCCACCCGGCCCGGTGAGGTAGGCGGTTCGGGCCCGGGCCTGCTAAATAGTGAACCGGCCCGTCCGGTTCTGGCCCGGTCCGGGCCAATTTATTTATTTATTTATTTTTGAATTTGTTTTAAGTTTTTGGGTTGGGCTGGGTATGATGGGCCATTTGAGGTGGTTTGGGGTGGTTTGGGGGTGAGGGGGGAGGGTTGGGGGTTAATTAGGAAAAACAAAAAAAAAATGAACCGAGGCCCGGCCCGGACCCGGGGTTACCCGGGCCGGTTCCGGGCCTCCCCTTTCATGAATCGAGGCCCGGCCGGGCCCAGGCCCGAACCGGGTCCGAACCGGAACCGGTCCACCCCTATTTATGTGGAAACATGGAAGGCGAGAAAACCACGGGACTGTTTAGGCTAATGTCCAAGCCCTCTCATTTTATTAGGCTCTCCTCACCATTACATTGTACACTTGAGCTCCCATTAATGGAGCCTTTTAGCTAGTCTAGAGAGGAGGAGGAAATGGGGAAGAAGAGACCAACCCCCTTACAATGAAATAAATGCTTCTATTTATACTGCACGATGGTCGTTGAGCATGCTGATGTGGCGGGCTGTGGTTGGCTTGGATCCCAACCACCAAATCTCTGCATTAAATGGCTTCCCAACCACCATATCTTTGCATTAAATGCGCTTCCCGCCAAGTGGTGGGGACGAGCGTCCCCACAATCTTATCTCCTGTGTCTTGCCTGTCCCCAAGGTCAAGGTTCCGAACGTACGTCTTTCAATTGGGCCTTGGCGACCCGTTGGGGACGTACATCCCCTGAAGTAGGGGGAAAGCATCTCCAGTTGCCCCAAGTCCTTGGAGACGTTCGTATTTCCGTTAGCCGACGCTCCTGACGTGACATTTGCTTCCTTGGCATGGTTTCCCGCCAACGGGTGAAGACGATCATCCCCAGGCATTGGCTGCCTGGTGCCCCGTGGTGCCTTCCAAGTTGTTGAGCCACTCTGTGTCTCCTGACGTACGTCTCCTCATGCGCTGTTTGCATGCTTAGGTACCCCATGAGAGGAGGCCGTACGTCGTCACCGCTTACTGCCATTTTGGTGCAGCTACCGAACGTCATCAACGCTGTTTGCCACTCTGAGAGTATTTTACCCCAGACTGTTGGGCTTTGGGGACGGTCGTCTGGTGAGCCTCAGGGGTAATGGGCTGATCTTATTTGGGCCATTTACCCAACACAGGGCTTTGGGGATGGTCGTCCGGTGAGCCTCGAGTGTTAATGGGCCGATCCTATTTGGGCCATTTACCCAACACAATTCCAAGTCCCCCACTTCTGATGTTTCGAGCGTGCGCGGGACATAAGGAAGTAGAGATTGCATCCGCCATGCTGCTCATATCACCAGTCAGGATGTGACCGTTGCTTGCCGTATTCAGGATCTTCGAATGTCTTGCCTTATTCACTGGATCTCCGTTCCCGGTCGTCTATGTGAACGGGTCTTGGCGGACCGTTGGGGACGTACGTCTTCCCGTGTAGAGGGATGGTATTCTCTGTTGTGTCTCTGGGGACATTTGTAGGATGATTAACCCAACACAAGTCCCCCCGATCCTTGAGTAGTGAGCATGAGAATCTGTTGGAGAAAGTATACTCTCGCCCGCGCTCTTCCTCTGTCTGTTGGCATACGTGTGAGGGCTTGGGCCGTTCGGTCCCTGAATGCCCAGCTCAACTTCCTTCGGACGTTCGGTCCCTAGAACCTCAGCCTTGATATGTCCAGCTTCATCATGCATGACCCGGGGCGCTCCGATCTCGTCATACTAAGCGTCAATCCTCGGCTCGAGTTCCTGGAGATGTTTGGCCTCCGGAATTTTCCTTCTGGATGCTCGGCATGACATGCTTAGGAGGATCGGTTCCTAAAGTCCCAACTAGGCTTCCTTTGGATGTTCGACCCCTTGAACCTCGGCCTAGGATTGTCCAGCCTCGTCATGCACGACCCGGGGGGTGCCCTGACCTCGTCACGCTAAGCGTCAATCCTCGACCCGATTTCCTAGGGACGTTCGGCCTCCGGATTCGGGGACGTTATGATTTCGATACACTCAAACTTGGCAGGCTCAGTCTCTGGATATGCTGCGCATCTCACGGCCTTCGACCGTGAGGCTCATCTTATGGCCATCGGCCTCTGAAGTAGAGGTGCTCGTCTCCAGGCCCTTGGCTTCTGAAGTGGAGATGCTCGTCTCACGGCCCTCAGCCCCTAGATGATGAATGATCACCTCATGACCCTCGGTCTCAAGGGTGACGAATAATCACCTCATGACCCTCGGTCTCAGAGGTGATGAATGATCACCTCATGACCCTCGGTCTCAGCGTATCTGAACTGGAGATGCTCATCTCCACTATGATATTTCTCCTTAAGATTCATTTTGAGCATACTTCGTTATCCGTCGTCCCGATCATGACATTTATTCTACACAGTGAGCTTGATCGTAAACTAGACACGATGGCGCTGAGGGGCCGATCGTGCTGTATAAAACGGTGATCGCCATCCTGAGAGGCATGGACGAGCCGACCGTGAACTGGACACGATGACGCTGAGGGGCCGATCATGCTGCATAAGACGGTGGTCGCCATCCTAGGAGGCATGGATGAGCTGACCGTGAATTGGACACGATGGCATTGAGGGGTCGATCGTGCTGCATAGAGTGTGATGGTCGTCTCACGGCCCTTGGCCGTGCTGGTAGTCTACAAGCCTTCGGCCATGCGGGTAGTCTAAAGGCCCTCGGCCCTCTACCTTGGCCTCTCGCCGGTCTTTGGCGACGAACAGGTTTCCTGCTTTTGGGTTTCCCTTGTTCCGTTCAACTATCTTCTCATCGTACCGCACGGATTAAACCCTGGGGTCGTACCGCGCTAAGCCGATGTCTTTGATAGGTTGTTAAATGTCATTTTGGTGACGAGTGGATTATCCTTTTGTTGAATGCCTTCTCGCCGGATCGGTGGTACTCCTGGTCTTACATTCTTTTTTGTTGAATGCATTCCCGTCGGATCAATGGTACTCCTGGTCTTACTTTCTTTTTCGTTGAATGCCTTCCCGCCGGATCGGCGGTACTCCTGTTCTTTTTGTTGAATGTCTTCTTGCCGGATCGGCGGTACTCCTGGTCTTACTTTCTTTTTGTTGAATGCCTTCCCGTCGGATCGGCGGTACTCCTGGTCTTACTTTCTTTTTTGTTGAATGCCTTCCTGCCGGATCGACGATACTCCTGGTCTTACTTTCTTCTTTGTTGAATGCCTTCCCGCGGGATCAGCGGTACTCCTGGTCTTACTTTCTTTTTTGTCGAATGCCTTCCCGCCGGATCAGCGGTACTCCTGGTCTTACTTTCTTTTTTGTTGAATGCTTTCCCGCCGGATCGGCGGTACTCCTGGTCTTACTTTCTTTTTTTGTTGAATGCCTTTCCACCGGATCGGCGGTACTCCTGGTCTTACTTACTTTTTTTGTTGAATGCCTTTCCTTCGGATCAGCAGTACTCCTGGTCTTACATTCTTTTTTGTTGAATGCCTTCGCGCCGGATCGACGGTACTTCTGGTCTTACTTTCAATTTTGTTGAATGCCTTCCCGCCGGATCGACGGTACTCCTGATCTTACTTTCTTTTTTGTTGAATGCCTTCCTGCCGGATCGGCGGTACTCCTGGTCTTACTTTCTTTTTTTGTTGAATGCTTTCCCGCCGGATCGGTGGTACTCCTGGTCTTACTTTATTTTTTGTTGAATGCCTTCTCGCCGGATCGGCGGTACTCCTGGTCTTACTTCCTTTTTTGTTGAATGCCTTCCCGCCGGATCGGCGATACTCCTGGTCTTACTTTCTTTTTGTTTGCTGAATGCCTTCCCGTCGGATTGGCGGTACTCTTGGTCTTACTTTCTTTTTTGTTGAATGCCTTCCCGTCGGATCGACGGTACTCCTGGTCTTACTTTCTTTTTTGTTGAACGCCTTCCCGCTGGTTCGGCGGTACTCCTGGTCTTACTTTCTTTTTTGTTGAATGCCTTCTCGCCGGATCAACGGTACTCCTGGTCTTACTTTCTTTTTGTTGAATGCCTTCCCGTCAGATCGGCGGTACTCGTGGTCTTACTTTCTTTTTTGTACGTGGGCCAAGTTCTGTGATAGGAGAGGGTTGGAAGGAGCTTTCACTTCAAAACGGACATCACCAAAGATAGCCACAAGGCTCACCTATGCCGCGGCATAGAAAATCAAAAAGGAAACAATATAGAACTACGCCTTGGTGCACGCACACAACCTAATAACACCGAGGCTATACAAACGGCTTACATCGTTCATATCAAAATGTGATCAACTCATGTGGGTATATGTTGTAGAGTACCTTATACACCGCATGTTTGACCTTAGTAATAACCTTTTCCTCCTTCTTAATTTTTTCATCAAATCTGCACTCATTCCTAGCGTGCCAAATGTAGTACACCGTTGCACAGAAAGCAATGCGGGCTGCTTTGGCCTTCAACGTTGATCCTTTATGGATCTTCTTGATCCATTTGATTGAACTCAGCAATGTAGACATCTCATGTCTTAGTCCCATCCAGCTCCTTACGTGATGCCACACCCTACAAGTAAAGGGGCAAAGAAAGAAAAGGTGTGGTATTGTTTCCAAACCACCCTTACATAGATCACACCGGTTCACGATATAAAGATACCCGAGGCTATCCTATGTAGGTAGTTGGTTTCTTAGGGCCATCCATGCATTAAATGAGAGTTTGGGGGGAATGTAGGATTTCCATATGAAACTCATAGGAGTC